CTTGACAGGAAGGCGTGGCCATGTGGCCATGTTTATGCCTCAAGGGCTTGGTGACCATTGCGCCCAGTGAAGAGCCTGGGATGTCATTGTCGTTTTACCCAGGCATGGAGAAATAAGTTCCTTGGTGGTAATGAATTCTTCTTATTGAATAGGAGGGCAACTGATAGCAGACCTCCTGAAACTTGCTTTATCTCATTGTTGTACCCAAGTTCATGTTGTACTCTTACCAGGGAGGCGTGGAACCATTACTCCTAGTAATCCCTGGTGGAACTGAGACTGAATTTTTTAAAAATATCTTTTATTGATATTTTTAGAGAGAGGGAAAGGAAGAGAGAGAGAGAAATGTTGACGTGAGAGAGATACATTGATCAGTTGCCTCCCATATAAACCCCAACCAAGGGTGGAAACCGCAACCCAGGCACGTGCCCTGACGGGGAATCAAACTGGCGACCTTGTGGTGCACAGGAGGACGCTCAAGGAACTGAGCCACGCCAGCCAGGGCTGAGCCTGAATCTGCTACTGAAATTCATACAGGACAAAGCATGTCAGTCACTAAGAATGTTTTCCAAGTTTAACAATCATCATAGATCAGGATTATAAATAACAGGCATAAGAGAATAACATATTATAGTTATTTTTTATATTGTCATTTGCATCAGCTTATGGGAGCAGACGTCCCATAACTCTGTGTTCATCGGATCACCTTACACTCCTGAGTCAGTCAGGGGAAGTACATCTCTGGCTTCAAAAGGTCAAAGATACGTGTATATCAGTTTTTCAGACAAAGGCCTGGTTTAGAATACAGTCATTAGGGTTTTTGTTAATCATTTTAATGAATATTTAAGACCAAGACAAAAGTCATATTTGCTTCTGTCATTTCATCGAACTGCGACATCCTGGTTCATAGGTCGATGCTCAACCACAGCACCGCGGCTAAAACACTCTTTAAAATGGGGGAGTATTAAATAGGTCCTATCTCCACCTAGAGGCCGACAGTGGGATCTGGACTTGGAACAAACCAGAAGGGAACTTGTCAACACTGGGAATACTCCAACATTCTTAGTGAAGGGGTTAGAGTAACAGGTAGGCATACACAAGGACATGGTCAAAGCAGATGTGGCCAGATGTGGCGGCTGTGGCAGCACCACGCCACCGATATCATTTTGGTTCATTCCCATTGGACGGCTATTGTTGTGTTGGCTGCTGTCATTTTTTTTACTTGACAACCTAAGGGAAAAGAGGTCAGTGCCCCTGTATAGTCAGGTGCTGCATGTTTTAAAAATTCTTGGGGCACACCAGTTGAAAATCGCTGATCAAGACAAATCCAGTAAACAGGAAAAGGGATTTTTATTAATAAAGTACAAAACTTTCCACAAAGACACAATCAGGGTCCATTTATCTATTAGGCATAGTAGACACCGTGCATAGGACCCACAATATTTTTTGGGTTCATAAAAATGTTTACTTTGTTTTTAAAATAAACTTTTAGGTTGAAAAAAATTAATTTATAATATTAATATACTATCTATAACCAACATAGCCATAAAATATACTTTTGAATATTTTAGGAAAGTGTCCAGAAAAGACAAAATGCTTAGGGTCCACAGAAGTCAGAATGCATCCCTGGATATGAGGGTCATGAACATTTACGTGCTGAAGAGCAAAGCAGCAAGTGACAAGCTAGTAGAAGTGCTGGACTTCAGGGACAGAGAGCTCATGACATCGTGGCTACAACAGCTGAACATGACTTCGGGCCGCCCCCTGGGGAGAGGGGTGGGGGAGTGCACGTGTGGCCATGAAGAGGCTGCTGGTCAAATGCACAGAGGGGCAGACGCAGACGCCTCTTGGTGAACCTCAGCAATCCCACCTTATGCCCCCAACACTTCTCCACCCTCCCCCATGCTTCGTACATCCTGTATATGTACACATATCTCACTGGGCCCCCAACCACGGAAAGGGGGCTCGTGGGTTCTCAGGGAGACAGCTGACCCAACAGCTAAACCAACCAGATTGGGTCTCCAGCAATCTGAGCCTTGGCGCCCAAGCCGCAGAGACTGAGAGCAGATCAGCCGGGTGGTCATGGCCCTGCTCCAGGGAAAAGTCTATGAAGAAGCCGTGAGGTCCCAGAACTGCCTTTGCTTTTCCCAGTAGAGCCAACCCTTCCTCCAAATCCTGAGTACCCCAATATTTCATAACACATTCCCTTGGAACTTAAACTGTTCTGAATCAGATTTTTGTAAGAAAAATCTGTAACAAAACGGATTACCAACAGCTGTTTGTAACAAAAACTCAAAAAGCATGGGGTTTGGGCAGCACAGCGATCAGGAGGTAAGGGGAGCTCTGGGCCAGGCACCAGTGTCGCAGTGACCAGGGCAGCCTGGCGGCTCCCTCCCTTGTCTTTCCAGGGCAAAGGTGTCATCAGCGGGAATTAGTCCCTTATATTCTACAGATGAGAAAACCGATGCTCAGATTCAGCAGCCCAGTCAGAAGCAGAGCACCGCTGGAAGCTAAATGAAGGAGAAGCCCTCACGAGGAATACAGAGAGGTCTCCTGCCAGCCGCTGTCCGCGCCACCGCCACCGCCAGCCCCACTGTCAGCCCCGTGGCTGCTCAGCCAGGCCGTCTGCCGCTGCAGGCTTTGCTGTCTGACTGCCAGGGCTCCAATTAAACATGGCACGCCTCCCATCTTCTCCCGAACCCTAATACCTCCGAAACATGTTTCTTAGTTTTTAGTTTGTATTTGTTTGTTTCTACAGATTTCTAATTTTGAAAAGTAAGGAAAATCTTGAGGTATTGATAAAAATAACCGCAAGTGGAAAGTTGCAGTTATAAGCGCTCTCTAGCAGCACTAGTAATAGAGGTCTGTCTACCTCATTCAGTGAGAAGGATTAACCCGCTCCAGCAACCTAGCCCGGGCCCTGCGGAGACGCACACACAGGGATATAGAGCCACGAGCCACATACTTTGGCCCGAGTCTCTGGAATCCCAGCTCTTCCAGATGCAGTGGTGAGACGTGGAACGGAACATTTGCTCCGGCTGCCACAGTGTCCAGCGTGGCTTTTACCTTTATGCTTTGGAAAACCGCCCATTTTTCCTCGGAATCAAAATACTTCAGTGCAGAAGCAAGATGTTGCTAACAGAAAGCGAGGCCAGAACAGTGAACAAATGGAATGCTGTGGCCCAGCCAACTGCGGGAAGTGATGCGGTGGCCGTGCTCCCCGGGGCTGACGCATCCTGGCTGTTCGGGGGTAACCCTAAAGGAGGTGCCCATAGGTGTCCCTGGTCTTCATTCAAGGGCTGGGGGACAGGTCTCACCATTGAGCTGGCACTCTGCTGGCAATGCCCCTCCCACGAAACTACCCGGAGATGAGGAAACGATAAGAAGGCGAGCACATGCACCCAGGGCGGCTGCCCACTCCAGCGGGTTTGAATGGCGAGCATGCTCAGGCGCCCTGAACTGCACACTGGCCAGGGAGCAGCTCGGCTGGGCCCGACACCCCCTGCTGGCCACACCGAACGGGCAGGAAGGGGGCAGCAAACCCCCAAACTGGGCTGCCACCCCTTCCACACAGGAACTTCTTTCTGAGGCAGCTAGAGCCCTGCTTTGACCCCCTCCCTTCCCCATCTCATCTCCACCCCACACCTGACCTGACCATTCATAAACTGCAAATCCAGCAAAGCCCGTGGCCAAAGGGGAGGAGGGATAGGGAGCCCAGGGCCTTCTGGGATATGCAGTGTTCCCAGGTACCGAGATCTAAGTGGCCTAAATTTTACAAGTTGTTTTTGGCCATAAGTCACAGAGGCCAAAAGGATCAGCCCAAGTCTGAGAAGTAGCTCCAAGGGCGTCACAGGCAGAGGACCCACCCCGGCCGCTGGCTCTGTGGCGTCCTCCAGGTCCTCCGCCCTCCTCCACCCTGAGTGGGGCCTCGGCAGCACCCAGCTCCATCAGTTCGCTCACCTTTTCCAACACCATCGAGGACTCCCTCTTCCTTGTCGCGTTCAAGTTAAACTCCTTTAAGGGGCAGTCAAGAACCCAGGCCCTCCTACAGGAGTTTCTATTCTGACCCAATCAAACCCCAAATCCTCAAGGTCCCGGCCTCTCTCTCCTTTATGGCCCCAGAAGCCACTAGACTAGTGACTAGAGCCACTGCCGGTCCCACGTGGCCAAGCCCCTCACCCTCCTCATCTTTGCCTGGGGCGGCCCAGCTTGCCCCTGGGAGGAGGAGAGGGCTGTGGTCCTGGCACCCTCCACGGCTCCTGGCACGGAGTGGCTCCTAAACTAGGCGTTTGTGGATGGCCCAGGGGACCTGGCGCCGTGGGTAACGGTTATGTGAGCGGCTGTGTGGCACCGTGTCGGCGGAGAAAAGCCCTCTGAGCTCAGAGCGCCAGACGAGGGTGACCTTGGGGACTCGCCCCTTTGCGCTCCAGGGGCGCCCTCCGTGGGTTTGCGCCGTGGGTTTGGCTCCGATCGCAGGGAGAAGCCTCCGCTCTGCAGGAGGGCGGGGGGGGGCAGGCGAGGAGGTGGGGAGCGTCTACTTAGGTCGGATCATTGCTTCACGGAAGCCGGGGAAGGAAGGAGGGAAGGAAGGTGGGTGTCTGAGGTCCTCGGGATTGGAGATTGAGATGGAGGGCGTGGGGGTCCCAGAAACCCCGTCCGTCGCTGAGGTCGGGGCTTCCCTCCCGTCCGTCCCCTCCTAGGTTGGGCGGAGTGGGGTGAGGGATCCGTGGGTGGCGAAGGAGGGGTAGGGTTTCTTGGGGACCGGGACCTTTCCCGGGCCCGTTAGCGGGCGAAGGTCTGGGCGCCAGGGGGCAGCAGAGGCGGAGAGACGCGGCGCCTGAGGGGCGGGCGCGGAGGGGTTTTCTGCGCAGGTTTCTAGACACACACACCCCTCCCCCCGCCCCCCCCCCCGTCCCCCCACCCCGCCCCCTGGAGAGCTTTGCTCGGAGGAGTTTGCTCCTACACTCCGGGTTTTGCGGTTTTGTCCCCGGGATCAGGACGATCCGGGCCGTGCCGTCGGAGGTCCGCGGGAGGAGGAAGTAGGGGTGTGTGCGTGGGCGAGGGGGGCCCCTAGGGGCCGGGTGCAGACACGAACCCAGAACCCACCCGCGCCCCCTTCCCTCCAGCCCCGCGGCCAGGCTCCGGCGCGGAAGGCGGGCTGGGCCGAGGTCCTGGAATAGCTGCGATCCCCCGCCAGGTGGGCGGAGCCAGGAAGCGCGGGCTCGGTGGGAAGCCCCGTGGGAGGCGGGAGGCCCGCTAGGGACCGACCGGGTCCTGGACCGGACCGCGCCGAGCTGCCTGCAGGGTGAGCCCGAGGAGGGGTCGCGGGAGGCGGGGACTGCGCGTCCTGACACCGGGCGGAGCAACTAGGGCTGCGGCACCACCGGAGGTGCGAGCCTGGGGGGCGGGGGGGAGAAGGGAGGGAGGCCCCGAGCTACAGGTGCGGGAACGTTGTCATGGAGACGAGCCTCGGTCTCGCTTGGGCACCGAAGGCTCCTTCCGGGCCTGAAGTCCCTAAAGACGGGGCCGGGGAGTGGGAGGCACACCTTCCCCGGAGCCGGGCCAGCGCGGGTGTCAGATGGGACCGGGAGCCACTGTGACACCAGCCGGGCAGGCCCCCAGGGGACAGGGAGTAAGCCGTCCATTTCTGGCTACAGCTCCGCCCGGAGGAATGGGGCGTGGACAGGGGTTTGTGGGGATGGAAGTAACAGCATCACACACACACCCTAGGAGGAACAATCACATTGTTTAACCATCAGTCAGAGCGGATGCTGGGTCTAGGGCCAGACAAGGCCCTGGGGGCCCTTCCATCCATGGCCGCACGTTAGCCCTTCAACTGCAGGGTCAGGGGAGGGAGGGTGCCCAGGGGAGGGACTGGACGGGCCAGGATGGCCATGGGGGTCCTCGGGGCTCTGGGCCTGGTGACCGCCCAGCTGATATCGATTTGATCTTCAGCAGTCTGTGCATCCAGGCCCTGCACACCCCCTCACTATCCCGTTCCGCCCAGGGCAGGGGCCTGGTCCCCAAGCTCAGCCCAGCCCCCCAGGCCCAGGCCAGGTGAAGGAGAGCAAGTGTGTGGGTCGGAGCCAAACACCCAGCAAGTGGAGATGAGAGAGCCCTGAGGCAAGAGCCGTGTATTCCAATGTTCACAGTGGGTGCTAGCTCCGGGGGCGGGCAGGAGCTGGGGTTCGGTCCCTGGGGAAGCCCTGAGGCAAGGACGGGACCAGGGTCATCCCTGCAGAGCCCTGTCCCAGGTCCGCTGATCTGGTTGGCATTTCTCTCTTTGTTGTTATTCAGTTTTCCACTCTTTAAATAATTAATATAATTACTTTTAAATACAAAATACACAGTGTCCTTTCTCTTCTCTTCCTCTTGTTTGGGGTGATTGGGAGGTGAGTTTTAAATAAGTGTGTCAGCTGGCTAACAGGTCACAGGCTCCAGGTGGGGGACCCGGAGCCCCAGGTGCCACCCCTCCCCGGGGTGGCCTGGCACCGCTCCCCCCTCCCTGGTCGGCCCCTGATGGGGGCTCTCCGTGCCCTGACGCAGGGCCCCAGCTGGTGAGGGGCCCTCCTGGGAGGTGGCCCGAGCCGATGCGGTGGGCTGCAGGGGCCTGGTTTCCACTGACAGGGTCGGACAGAGAAGAATCCTAGCCCATGAAGCAGACAGGCCCCAGCAGCACCCCACCCCGCCTCGGGGGGGCCCCCAAGTCTGAGAAGGAGGCATCCAGCACTGGCAGCTGCTCCAGCACAGGGGTCCGCACCTCCAGCACCGTCCGGCCTTGCTGTGTCTGGAGGGGGGGACAGGAGGGGTGAGCTGGGCGGAGGGCACAGCCCAGGCTGGGCTCTCCTCTGAGCACCGTGAGAGGTGATTCCCCCAACACGTCCCATGATGGGAAAGGCAGGGAGGTACATGTGCCTGTGTGTATGTGTGTGTGTGTGGGGGGGGGGTCTTTGAGATCGCAGCCTGTGGTGGTGAGTCTGTGCCGCTCCACAGGGATGTGTGTATGTGTGTGTTGGGCGGGGGCGGGGGGGCGGGCTGTGTGATATTAGCTGGCGTGATTCACATGTGCATGTACCTGTGTGACCCTGTGCCTCTGCTGGGCCACCTGTGTAAACGTGTGTACTTGGTGATGCTGCTGTGGGCATGCAGGTGAACCCATTTCCATCCTCCCCACCCCCGCACCCCCACCTGAGCTCTTCCTGCCTCCCTTCCCACCTGACAGCCGGCTCTGAATTCCTTGACGTAGGGGCTGGTGTCAGGGCTCAGCTCATCCTCATTGGCCCCCCTGAGCTTCAGGGGGCCGTCCCGGGCCAGCCCAGAGCACGGGTAGGAGACGTCCTGGTGGGCGGAGACGCTGAGCAGCCGAAGGAAGGTGAGCTGGACCACGCCTACCGGGGAGCCCTCTGAGTCCACGTAGGAGAACTGGAGGAGAGGGGCTGCGGTCAAGGCCAGAAGAGGGTGGCTGGCCGCAGCATGGGCAGGGAATAGGTGGGGGCGGGGGGCAGCGGGGGGAGCTGGGAGAAATGCCTGAGTGGGAGCCAGGAGACTGGGGTACAGGACAGGCAAATGTCTGCCTTGGGTTGCAGGGGTGGTGAGCACGGGGGCTGGTGAGGAGGAAGGAAGAGGGCACAGGAATGGAGAAGGGCCAGTTGTCTGCAGGGGTAACGCCTCTGCAGGGGCGATGCTGCTGGGGAACTTGACTGTCACGTAAACCCAGAACCCCCCCCCCCCACACACACACACACACACAGGCTGGGCGCCGGGCAGCACCTGTGTGACATCGTCCCGGGGCAGCACGCAGGTCTCCCCGCCCGCCGTGAAGTTGCAGAACACGCGGAAGGCGTCGCGGGCGCAGCCCTGGTTGGGGTCCACCCAGTACTCTCCTGTGGGGGCAGGCGGGGAGCTCAGACCCAAGATCCCCACACCCCAGCCCTGCCTACAACGCTACCAGCCTCCAGCCCCAGCCCTCCCACCAGAGCCCCTAGCACAGTCCTGCACTTCCGTTTCCCTCACACCCACCCCCTTCCCTGACACCCGCCAGCAGCATCCCCAGGCCCTGATCACGATGAGTGTGTAGCTGTAGGTTTGCACATGTGTATGGCTATAGGTTTGCACACGTGCGTGGCTACAGGTTTGCACACGTGTGGCTATAGGCTTGCACATGTGTGGCTGTAGGTTTGCACACACATGTGGCTGTAGGTTTGCACACGTGTGTGGCTATAGGTTTGCACATATGTGTGGCTGTAAGTTTGCACGTGTGTATGGCTATAGGTTTGCACACGTGTGGCTGTAGGTTTGCACACGTGTCCGTCTGTGTGAACGCAGGCCCTGTGCACACGTGTATGCTATCTATTCCTGCAGACGGCGGGCTGGCAGCGGCTGCTGCACACTGGTAGGACCATGTCGGTTTCTAGTACTGGTAGGAGCCACTGTTCCAGTCCCCTCACCCCACCCAACACCGTCCCGACTCCGGCAACACCACTCTGCTCATCCCGCCCATGAGGCTGTGGGTCTTGCTGTGTGCCCTGAGGCTGGCACTGACCATCGGGCAGCTCTGGGTGGCAGAGCTTCAGGTCCTGGCAGGTGCGCCCAGGGCTGTCCTGGGTCCCTGTCGGCCGCCTCATCTGCTCGATCTCCTCCCGCAGGGAGTCCAGCGAGCCAAAGATCTCCTCCAGCCCCCCAGCACTGCCCGGGGCGCCCCCGGTCGGCACGGCCTCATCTTCCTGCATCAGGCGGCTTCCGTCCACTGAGCGCCGAGTCTTCTTGGGCATCTGGATGGGCAGGGGCTGGATCACCTCGCCTGGGGGGCCCTGGCGGAGGGACAGATGGAGGGTGGGGGTGAAGCCAAGAAGGTGCAGGACAGGGAGGGACGCCAGGGAAGCGGGAAGGCCTCCTAACTCACCGGGTGTCCCGGAGGGCCCTGGACGCCCTTCTCTCCCTTGGGTCCCGCTGGGCCCTGCCAAAGGAGCAAACGAGGTCATGGGGCGGTCAAGGTCACAGTGGGGTCAACTCAGTACCCAGGCTGGGAGTGAGGGGCACCCTGGGGGGAGCACTGCTCTGGAGAGACAGTGCCCAGTCCAGCGTGGGGCGGGCAGGCCAGGGCCGGGGTCACTCACTGTGGCTCCCTTGGCTCCCTTGGGGCCAGCAGGTCCCTGTGAAATGAGAAACAAGAAAGAGACGGTCGCACAGGGAAGGTCAGGACGCAGGAATGGAGAGGCAAGGCCAGGCGTCCACCGGGCAGTGGGATTACAGGGGGGCATGAGGGGACATGGGGGCAGGAGACCTGGGAAGGGGGAGGAGACACTGCGGTGTGAGGACACACGGGGGAAACTGAGGCCTGTGCCTGTTAGGCTGGCGTTGCCATGGAAGCCGGGGGTTAGGGTTTCATGGGGGAACAGATGGTACTCACAGTGAGGCCAGGGGGCCCTCCAGGACCAATGGGGCCAGAGGCTCCGGGGATGCCCTAGGAAAGGGAGGGCCTCGTTCAACTGGGTCCTCCCCCCGCCCCCAGCCCACCCCCCACGGGAATCTCCACCTCCTCCCACCAGGACCGCGCCTCTCCTCACCGTCTCCCCCTTCTGTCCAGCAGAGCCCTGAGGGCCAGGAAGCCCCCGGTCTCCCTTCTCTCCCTGCTCCCCCGGGGGCCCGATCAGCCCGATGAGACCTGGGTGGCCCTGGAGAAGAGGACGGGTGTCAGGAGAAGCAGAGGAGACGGGTGCTGGGGACCACGCTCAGAGCCCAGAAGCCAGGGCTGTGAGGAGCCCTCACTAAGGCCCAAAGGCCCGGTGCTAGAGGCCAGAGCAGAGCACGGAGCGCAGGTCCCGCCGTCTGGGGTGAGGGCCGGTGTGGGGGTGGGGGGAGACACCTGGCCACGTGTCTGTCACTCACCTTCTCTCCCTTGGCCCCAGCATCACCACGGAGGCCAGGGAGCCCTGGGGGTCCCTGTGGGGAGAGAGAAAGTCACTCTTTCCAGGAAGAGGTGAAGCCAAGCCCCCACCACTTCCCACTGCCTCCAGGGTTTCAGCTCTTGCCCACTGCCCTGGGTGCCCCCGCCCCCATTCACCCCCCCCCGCCACCCGGCCAGTCACTCACCACAGGACCTGGGGGCCCGGCCTGACCTGTGGCCCCAGGACGACCTTGCTGGCCCTGCAGATTGAGGAGACCCCAGAGGTCAGGCAGAGTGTCCCCTCCCATGGCATCCCCAGCCCAGCCTCTCCCTCCAGACTCACCACTGAGCCCGGGAGCCCCCTCAGACCATCGGGACCAGGTTTTCCTGCTGGGCCTGCGGGACCCACTGGGCCTGTCTTTCCCGGGGCACCCACAGCACCGGGATCCCCCTGAAACGCACACAAGGAACGGGTTCTAAGGGGAGGAAGGGGGCAGGGAGTCCAAGGTAGGTAGGGCGATGCAGGAAATAGGTCTGAGCCCCAGGAGCCCGGGGGCAGGAGCAGGTAGAGGGAACCCCCTTCCCACAAGGGGCTCAGCTGGGGGGGGGGGGGGTTGTGGAGAAGGACAGAGGACTCTGAGGAGCCAAGGAGGCGGGAAGATGGAGGGAACGTTCCAGCATCCAGGGCGGCCTCCCCACCTTGGCTCCCTTCTCTCCTTGTCGCCCCTCAGGACCAGACGTGCCGGCAGGACCCTGCAGGTGGAGGCAGGAAGGCGCAGATGAGGGCACAGAGGCCCATCACGGGGAGGACGCCCATCACGGGGAGGAGGCCCATCACGAGAGAGGCCCATCACGGGAGAGGCCCATCACGGGAGAGGCCCATCACGAGAGAGGCCCATCACGGGAGAGGCCCATCACGGGAGAGGCCCATCACGGGAGAAGCCCATCACGGGAGAGACGGGAGCAGCTGAGCCGGGTGTGAAAGTACCGAGTGGCCCTGAGCATCGGGTGAAGAGCCACGTACGCCCACCTCCTGCCCCAGCAACTGAAGGTGAGCCCGGCCCAGCAGGGGCCAGGAAGCCAGCCCTCCCCCGTCTATTCTGATTGGTGGGTACACACCACACCCTTGGCAAGAACTTTCATACGAAACCCCAGAAACAAACATACCCAGATACGCACAGCACTTACAAACACACATGCTCAAGCACATACACACACCCCCAGGATAGCCCAGTCACAGGCATCTCCCTGCCAGGCCCCTGCCATCACCCCATCCTCTGCCCACCACCCAGGGGTGCCCCGGAAGGCCTCAGGTGTCCACCTCACTTACCCGCTTTCCAAGTGGCCCAGGGGGTCCATTCTCCCCAGTGGGACCAGGGGATCCCTAAGGAGGGAGGAATAGGGTGGGTAAGGGTTTAGCTTCGAGCCAGGGAACCCCCAGGAGTGGGGCACAGAAGAGGAGCAGTGGTCTGAAGGCTCGGGCGCAGAGGGGGGGGCCACCGCTCACTCACAGGCTGCCCGGGCTCGCCATCCTCTCCACGGTCACCCTTCGCACCGTCCTGGCCCTGCAGGGATGGAGCAAGGTCAGAGGGGCCCAGCCTGGCTGGGATCACCTGAGCGCTGTGACCCTCCCCTCCTTCCCGCCGTCCGGCCACACCCAAGCCCAGCCCAGCAGCCACAGAGGCCTTTGCCCGTCCCCACACTGGCCAAGACTCACGCGAGGGCCGCCTTCTCCAGGAGGGCCAGGGTCGCCAGGAAAGCCAACGGGGCCCTAACGCAGAGGGAGGACAAAAGGCAGGCTCGCACCGCCTAGCCCACCCAGAGCCAAAGCAGACCCGGGCACAGCCACTCCTTCTGCAGGCAGTGCCCACCGCACCGCCCCCTTCCCAGGATTAACTAGAGGCCGGCTCGCATGTCCTCTCGCTCTAGACCCCACAACCTCTCCAGGAGACCTTATTCCCAGAGCCTTCCTCCCAGGTACCCCCACACTTGGGCTCCCCACACTCCGACCCTCACACACATTCCCAGGCCTCCCAGCCGCAGGACCCTCCTCTCAGCCCCTTCCCCAACTCACAGGGTTCCCTTTGGGGCCGTCATCCCCAGTGGGGCCTTTGGGGCCTGGTGGTCCCGCCTCTCCCGGCTGCCCGGACTCGCCTTTCTCCCCACGCTCCCCGCGTGGGCCCTGGAGGATGAGGGGCAGGTACAGATGGTCCCAAGTGGATCTTGAAGGTCAAGGATGCAGCCCCTGCTTCCAAGACCCCTTCAGCCTCCCCCAGGCCCTCGTGACAGAAGGATGTGCACAGAAAGGCAAGCCCACGGTGGTCCCCGGCCCTGCCCTTCCAGGAAAGGGGGCAGGGCTCCCAAAGACACAGGGACAGGGCCCCATCGAGAAGGCTGGGGCACGGACTGCTGGGCAGCAGAGCAGGTCATGGGAAAAGTGGGGTGGGCTGAGGGGGTGAAAGGGGACGGGGAGCGATACCTCCAAGCCATCACTCACCTTGGCGCCTGGCTCTCCCTGGACCCCGGGAGATCCTGAATCTCCTGGCTCCCCCTGCAAGGAGACTGGGGTCAGAATCCTCCTTCCCCCCAAAACCCCTGATAGTCCCCACACCTCCCTCGCTTCTGACCCCCAACCAAAGTTGGCCAACTCCAGGCCCAGGCCATTCCCCCTTCCGAGTTACCTTCTCTCCAGGGGGACCCAGGTTCCCAACACCTCCTGGGGGACCTTGAGGACCCTGGAAGAGAACAGAAATAGGGGTCAGAGCTCAGGGGAGAAGGTTCCATTCCAGGGGCGGGGCCAGGATGAGGGCCCTCCCTGCACCCGAACCCGAGGTCTCAGCAGGGAGACAGTGGGAGGCCTTCCCAGAGGTGGCGCCTGAGATGAGACCAGAGTTTATGGGGAAAGGGAGGTAGAGGACCGGCCACACTGGTCTGAAGGGACCAGAGGCTGAGAGGACTCACATCAGCTCCATTGGGTCCAGCGGGGCCTCGAGGTCCTGGGGGGCCAGGTGGTCCCTGGGGAGAAACAGATGCACCAGAGCTAGCAAGGGAGCAGGGGACACAGCGGGGGGTGGGGGGTGCCCAGGAATGTGGGGGGTTGGGCAGGGCAGAGATCTCGGCAGAGAAGAGGAGGAGGGGCAGGACAGGGAGCAGGGTGCCGGGGTGGGCTGGATGGGGGGGGGTGACCAGAGGTGGGGCTGGGGCCAGTTGGGGTCACACTCACCATAGGGCCCACGTCTCCTGTTTCTCCCTTCTCCCCCGAGGGGCCTGGCAAGCCCTGAGCAGGTGTACAGGGCACAGACCCGGGTGAGCAACCGCCCCAGGCCCAGTTCCCTCCCTCAGACCCCACAGGCCTGGCCCCAGTCCTCGCTCCACCTCCCTTTCCTCTCAGAATGGGCTCCTGACCCCAACTCTCAGCCCGTCTCCACCCCCCAGCTCACCTGCAGGCCAATGGGTCCGGGGGGCCCATTGAATCCTCTCGTTCCTTCATCACCTTTGGCTCCAAAGTGTCCCTGAGGTCCCCGGGCCCCGGGCTCCCCATCTGCTCCCTGAAGTGGGGGGGGGGGGGCAGGGACAAGGACACCGATGACCATGGTCAGGTGTAGTCCATCCACAAAGCCACCCCAAGGTGGCAGCAGGCCCAGAGTCCCTCCTCCCACCCCCACCCCAAAGGCAGGGCTGCCGGGAGCAGGCGGGCATCACCACTCACCGCGGCTCCAGGCTGCCCCACAGGCCCGATGGGTCCAGGGGGTCCAGGAGGGCCCTGGGAGAGAGGAGAGTCAGACACCCAGACAGGGCAGGCCCGGCAGGAATGAGGCCAAGGGCCAGAGGCCAGAACTCAAAGCTCAAGGACACTCACATGTTCACCTTTGTTCCCTTTAGTGCCCTTCTGTCCAGGGTCGCCCACCTCACCCTGGAGGAGAGGCAGGTGAGATGTTAGCGGAGGGAGGAGGGGGGGGGACAGTGGGAGTGGGGAGGGGGGGCAGTGGGAGGCAGGGACGGGGGACAGTGGGAGGCGGGGAGGGGGGAAGTGGGAGGCGGGGAGGGGGGACAGTGGGAGGCGGGGAGGGGGGACAGTGGGAGGCGGGGAGGGGGGACAGTGGGAGGCGGGGAGGGGGGGCAGTAGGAGGCAGGGAGGGGGGACAGTGGGAGGTGGGGAGGGGGGACAGTGGGAGGTGGGGAGGGGGGACAATGGGAGGCGGGGAGGGGGGATGTGTCCAGATCTGCAGTGTCATCTGGAAAGAACCTGGGTCCAGAGGCTGTGGTTCCCTCACCTTGTCCCCATCTTCTCCTGCCCCGCCTGGGGGCCCAGCAGGCCCGGGAAGCCCCACGGGGCCCTGCACCCCATCACGGCCAGTGGGGCCAATGGGGCCCTTCTCACCCTGTGGAAGTGGAGAGAGGAGTCAGGGCCTGGACGGCCCCTTGCGCAGCGCTGCACAGACCCCCCAGCCACACTCACCGGGACACCTTTCTCTCCTGCTGCTCCCGGGGGACCCTGAGGTCCTGGGCGCCCAGGGGGGCCAATGGGTCCCCCGGATCCCGCTGCACCGCGTTCCCCAGGGGAGCCCTAAGAGAGGAAATGCAGTCAGACCCCAAGGAGGAGACCACAGCCTACACACCACAGGACAGGCCCCCCACCCCACCGCCACGGTTCCCAGGAGAAGCGCCCCGAATCGGATGCATTATGTCTGGCCCTGCCATCCATGCTGTGCCCGCCCCGGCCCCCGCCCCGGCCACCGCCCTGGCCACCGCCCCGGCCACCGCCCCGGCCACCGCCCCGGCCACCGAGGTGCAGATGCCGCTCCTCACTCTTCCTCGCCCACCCCTTCCTGGTCCTCCCGCTGCCCCCAGGGACCCCAGACTCACCGCAGGACCAGGGGGGCCGGCCGGACCTTCATTTCCCTTCAAACCGGCTCCGCCCTATGAACCAGAGATTCAGAGCAACAGATGAGAGACAGGAAGTGGGACAACACAGGGCGGGCCCAGGAGACACGCAGGGTTGGGGGGGGGTCGGGCTCCGAGGGAAGGGAGCGGGGGTTCTGGGGCGCCAGGGCTCACGGGGACTCGTTACAGGCGGTCGCTGGGGTCACTCACAGCAGTGCCGGGGAGGCCTCTCTCTCCTGGGAAGCCCCTCAGCCCAGCGGGGCCATCCTTCCCTGGGGCCCCAGGAGGGCCCGGGTCTCCCTAGGAGGAAAGGAGAGGTGGTGAGCCACAGCCATGCCCCCAAATCATGCAGAGCCACCTCTGACCCCCTCACATCCCCAACCTGGTCCCCAACTTCCCCTCTGCCCAGCCTCTACTAAACCTTTTTTAAATTGAATTTATTGGGGTGACATTGGCTCGAAAAACCATACAGGTTTTAAGTGAAAACTCAATAAAACAGCGTCTACACACGCATCGTGTGCCTCTCGCCCCATTTTCCCCTGCTTTGCCCACAGTTAGGGGGCGCTTCACGAATTTGCGTGTCGTCCTCGCGCAGGGGCCATGTGGATGCGGGGCTCCGTGGGTCCCGCTCTAGCTGGTGCGCTGCCGGAGGGAGCACCGGTACTGACCTTCGTGCCTTCTTTTCCAGCTGTTCCCGTCAGTCCTTGCTCTCCAGGGGGCCCTGGGGGGCCTGGGTGACCTCTCTCCCCCATGGGCCCGGTTTCTCCTGCTGCTCCCTGGGAAAGGGGCCGAGAGACTCCAACCTCAGGGATAGCCTTTCATTCCACTGGGCCCAAAGCAGCCCCCCTGGCCACCCTAAACTACCCCCCCCGGACCCCTGCACCCCTGCCCAAAGCTGCCGGGGTCTCCCCAGCCCGCCCCGTGCAGGCCCCGTGAGGAGCACCTGCACCACCTTGCCTCAGGTTGGGGACCCGCCTCTCCTCTGAGCCAAGAAGATGAGAACCGGCCCAGGAAACACACGAAGTTCAGCACCAGAGCTCCAGCCCCAGCCCCCACGTGCCCAGCCCCAGCCCCCACATGCCCAGCCCCCACGTGCCCAGCCCCCAGCCCCCACGTGCCCACCCCCACGTGCCCAGCCCCAGCCCCCCATGTGCCCAGCCCCCCACGTGCCCAGCCCCCAGCCCCCATGTGCCCAGCCCCCAGTCCCCCCACGTGCCCAGCCCCCAGGCCGGGAAAGGGAGAAGGACGGGGCACTGGCTCCAGGTCGGGGTCCCTCTCTCCAGAGGCAGACGTACCTGAGGCCCCACCACCCCTGGGGGACCAGGCGGGCCGGTCTTCCCTTGGAAACCCTGAGAGAAGAGGAGACGAGAGAGCAGTCAGAACACAGGCGGCCCCTCCCCAGAGGAAGGCAGGGTCACCGTCGTCCTTGCCGCAGTCGGAGTCGAGCACCCGGATGCTCTACGCTGCCAGGAGAACCCTCCCTCCCCCTGGGCGGGCCTTCCCCACGGCTCTGGAGTTTGAGGGCCCTCGGGCCCAGCCATCACTTACCACTTCTCCTCTCTGGCCCGGGTGTCCCGGCAGCCCGTCCTTCCCAGAGGGGCCCTGGAAGGGGTGCAGATGGTGGGTGAATTCTAGGCAGGGAAGGGAATGGGGAAGAAGGATTCCGAGAACCAAGGTCAGCCAGAGGTCAGAGGTCAGCTTACCGGAGGGCCTTTGGGGCCAGGAAATCCGTTGGGGCCCTGAGGCCCAGGGAGACCCTAGAGACAGAGCTGGGTTGAGTCCGGAGGGTGGGGTGGGATGCTGGGCGGACAGGGAGCTGCTTGCTCAGGCTCCCCGGGGAGCACGGGGCCGGACACGCCAGCCACACTCACCCTTTCTCCGGGGGGCCCGTGGGGGCCGTCGCCACCCGATGTTCCCTGGGGGGAGACGGAGTTAGAGGGGCTGCGGGGCTGGGCCAAGGGGCAGGCCACCGACGGAGCCCTGCGGGCCACTCACCTTAGCTCCAGACTTCCCAGTGGCGCCTCGGGGCCCCCGCTGACCCCGTGGACCCTGGAAGAGGGAGAGGCGTTGTCAGAAAACCAAGGCACCGCTCTGGATCCTGAGCCACAGGTCTCCCCTGCACTCACCGTGGGGCCCCGCTCGCCCCGAGGCCCTGACTTCCCGGACAGGCCCTGGCGGAAGGAAGCAGACAGCACATCACGCAGGGCCTGGCTCCCCCCAGAGCAGCCTTCCCTCCGCTCCCTCTTCCCCGCCTACCCGGGCTCCCTTCTCTCCGCCGGCTCCAGGAAAACCAGGAAATCCTAGGGACCCCTGGTGAAGATGGAGAAGGAAAAACATAAAAGTCAGGAAAGGGAGGCCCAGGAAGGGCCAGAGGGTCCGGAGAGGTGGGGGGGCGTGGTGTGAGGCCTGGCTCTGCGGCAAACCCTGCTGCTCTCGGGCCTGCTCCCTCCCCCGTGGGACCCCACTGCTCTGTCAGCCTGTGTCCTGGGAGGGACAGAGGAGGGGTACGAGTGGGGCATCACGTCACCTTGGGACCCTGGCGTCCGGGATAGCCAGGCAGACCAGGAACACCCAGCTTGCCCTGCGGAGGGACGGGGAGCAATGAGGAGCTGGAGGAGCCACAGACTCCCCTCCATCCCTGGAGACCCCAACCCTCAGGGGCTGGAGCCACCCCCACCCAGCAACACGCCCATCAGGCCCCAGCCCCTCATCTCCGCCCAGGGCTGCGGCCTGGTAAGCTCTCCTCCCCAGCGGGCTGGGGTCTTGCCTGCCGGTGTCTGGGGTCTTAGTCTGCCGCTCCAGCTCCATCGGGTCTTAGGGGCTGTGACCTAGTCCTTGCCTGTCACCCTCGGCTCCACCTTCCCCAGCACAGGTGCCTGCCCCTGCCCCACATGGCGGGGACAGCTCTGCCCTCTGCTCCTGCTCTGCACCCCCACTCACTCCCGTGCACCCCTGCCTCCCCACGCTGCAGGGCTGTCAGGAGGCAGCTGTGGGCTGCGCTGGGAGCAAGGATTCTGCAATCTGGCTGCATGGGCTCACACCCTGCTCTGACTCACTGGCTGCACAACTAGGGAGCATCTTAACCTCCTGGGGCCTCTGTGAGGCCAGACGGTGCAGCCTTCGCCCGGGCGTCTCTGATGAGTCCGCGAGCCGCTCACCCGCTCCTGCCTCTCCTCTCAGAACTCCTATGCGCGAGTCTGGACACGTTTGCACTCTGCCCTGCACCTACGGCCACCCTATGGCGGCCTCTATGCCTTGTCCCCATCAATCTGTTGTAAACTCCTAGGACGGGGACTTTTCCTTGACTTCTTATCCATCACCCCTCAACCCGCCAGTGTCCAGGAGGTGCCACATACAGGAGGAGCATAATTAATGCACGGTCGTCTTCGATTGGCTCACTGCTCCAGCTGTTGGCAACCCATGCCCACCCTGATCCCCGGGCCCAGGCCCGCAGCCCCTCCATATCCCTGGAGAACACACAGATCCCTCATTCCCGTCACCTTCTCGCCCATGAGCCCAGTGGGCCCAGGGTCTCCAGTGGGTCCAGTGCGGCCCTTCGGCCCCTCGGGACCATCCTCTCCTCTGGAACCAGGGACTCCGACCTCGCCCTGAGTGAGAGGGTTGAAGAGGTGAGTGTCAGGGTCTGGGGTGGGGCTAGGCCCCAGGGGAGAGGCAGGCCCGGTGAGGCTGTGAGGGTTGGCGGGGGTCCCAGACACTATTGCACGACAGGGGCCACAGGTCAGGGAGACTGTTGTGGTTGGAGGGACACAGGCTGTGGGGCTGTTAACCTGCTGGGATCAGGCCTAACGGGTGCAGAGCACTGGAGACAGGACTCCGGGGTATCAAAGGAATCGGCTGGGGGCTCCAAAGTGAAGGATCATTAGGACGCAGACTTGGGGAGCAGTGTGGGGGTTTCTACTCACCCTGTCACCTTTCACACCCATGTCACCTTTGAACCCAGGAAAGCCATCGTCGCCCTAAAAAAATTGGGAGAGGACACCCCAGATGGTAGAGGGTCAGGAGGTTAAAATGGAGGGTTCTGGAGAACACGAGTGGAAGGGTGGGTGTCAGGAGCTGGAGGGCAGCAGGGGCAGCAGGAGGGGAGGGAGTGAGGAAGAGGTGACTGAGAGGCTGGTGGAGGAAGAGTGAGGGTGTTGAGAAGTCGGGGCACACTGCTCACCTTTTCACCCTTATGACCCTTCAGACCCCGAATTCCGTCCACACCCTGGAGTCAGACAGGGCAGAGACAGAGTCAGGGCAGGGCTTGGGTTGGAAGGACCGAGGTCCCGAGACCCCAACTGGTTCCTCCAAAAGCAGTCCTTTATCTCCCTGCCTGGGGGTCTTTACCTTGACACCTCGGGGTCCAGGGTACCCGAGAGGGCCCTGAGGTCCAGATGGACCCTGGAAGAAGAAAGAGAGGTATCTATAAAGGGGTCGTGGGGTGTCATCGCATTGGCCTCAGGGCTTGGGAAATGGGAAGTGACCTCAAAGAAAACAGTCAGAGCCTCGTTAATGACGAGACAAGGACATCCCAAGGACTTCGCGGGCCAGGGTCTGGGGAGAAAGCCCTTCGGAAGGTGAGAGGAGGCGTGGAAGACCTCACCTGGTTTCCTTTGGTTCCTGGGGGACCTTCCTTCCCGGGGTGACCCTGGGGGGATGGAAGAAGAATGTGACCACTGGCCCCTGTCACCCTCCTGCACCCCTCTCCACACTTCCTCACCCCAAACTCCCCTGTGACCTGATGAAGCCACTGACCACGGGCAGGTGCCACCGGTGACCTCCCAGTGCAAGGGACACACGGACGGATAGTCACTGAGGGCCCTTGGAGGCCACCAGGTGGGGTGGAAGGTCAAGGGGTATTGGGAAGAAGTGGGTCCACTCACCGGGAGTCCGTCTGAGCCAGGCATGCCGGGGAGCCCTGGTTTCCCCAGAGGACCCTGCAGGAAGGCAAGGGGGTTCAGGGTCACCAAAGGGGTCAGGTCTGAACACGGCCAAGTCCCAGCCAGACATTTAGGCTGTCCCGGCACCCGCCCCGGCATATCCCTGCTCCCAGATCATTTAGTCTCTCACCTTCTCTCCATGAGGGCCAATGGCACCCTGAGGCCCAGGGAGGCCCTATACGCAGGGAGAAAGAAGTCACAGGGGCCCCGAAGTGGGGGGCGCTCTCTCCTCCAGCCAGCACCCCCCTTCAGAGCATGAGCAGTGAAGACTGGAGACCCTTAATTTCCTGTCCCCATTCGGGTCTGACCCACGTGGAAGCCCAGGGGAAGTGGCTAACGTTGGAGGGGGGTGGACAGACCACTCACCTGGGTCCCAGGAGTTCCCTGCTGTCCGGGAGGTCCCGGCTCCCCTTGGGGTCCCTAGAAACAGGCGACCAGGAGGGTCAGAGGAGATGGTGGCAAAACATATGGTGAAGAGCTGAGTCCCAGCAGGAGTATCCAGAGGGCGAGACCCAGAGGGGCAGGGCTCAGAGTGGGGCAAAGGGAGCAGGACGTTGGCAGGCCAAGGGTCGGGTGGAGTCTCCGTGCCCATCACTCACCAAGCTCCCTTTGGGACCTTGGGGACCATCCATGCCTCGGACGCCCTGAAACATGAGAGGGGTGTGAGCAGGAAGGCAGCCCACACGGGAGGCCCTGTGGTTCCCGGGGGTGAGGGTGGGACAGGGCAGAGGAACACGGGTCAGTCCTCCCGTTCATCCCAGACCTAAGCAAACACAGCCGGCCCAGACCCGCAGGGCGTGGGTCTGTGGGTCTGTGGGTTTGTGGGTTTTTGTTTTGTTTCTCTTGAGGCTTTTTTTTTTTTTTTTTTTTACTGTTCTCAGAGCCTTTGGTGCCCCACACCGTAAGCCCTAAAAAGGGCCCATGGGGGCAGAGGCTGAAGCAGGACTGGGGGTGCAGCAAGGGGGAACTGGAGGGGAGGTGGGGCAGTTAGGAAGATGAGATTTGGCGAAGTCAGGGGTGAGATCAGGGTCAGAAGTCCGGGGCCGTCACTTACCGGGGGTCCAGGGATACCAGGTGGGCCTTTAGGGCCAAGGAGACCTCGAGGTCCCTACACTCAGGTGAGGAGAGGATAAGGATGCATGAGTGAGAGGAAAGGTGTCTCTTTCATATGTATGTTCCTCCTCTGGCATTCCCAGAGCCCTCCTCGCCCCCACCCTCCTTCCCCCCACCCCTGCAACCTGACCCCCTGGACACTCACCGACTCTCCAGGCAGCCCCCGAGGCCCAATCTCCCCATCGTCTCCCTGGAGAAGGAGGACATGGTGAAGTGGACTCACCTTCTAGGCCTCCCCCATACCAGCCCCGGCCCTGGCCACACTCACCCGCTCTCCATCCTCGCCAGGGGGGCCAGGAAGGCCGTGGACACCAGTATCTCCCTGGAGAATAGGTAAGAGGGGCTCCAGAGCTCCCCACACAGACACCGACCCTCTTCAACTAACCAACCAGTTTCATATATTGAGCTCCTGCGGAGACCCTCAGCCCCCTCCCCTTGCCTTGAGAGCCCTACCCCCAATATACTCACCCTGTGTCCCTTCTCCCCAGGAAGCCCTGGGAGCCCATCAAAGCCTCGGTCGCCCTAGGGGAAAGAGGGGCAGCCCGTGTGAAGCCCCAGTCCCTTTCCCTCCCCACCCCTCCCTCTGTGTCCTGAGTGGGGAGGTGCCACCTCATGAGGGAACCCCGGGAACTCAGTCACCCTGAAAACAAATGAGCTCAGATGGGGCTGGAGCTGAGCATCAGAGAGAGGCCCAGCCTGTCACCTTTACTCCAGGTTCTCCAGGCATCCCTCGGGCTCCATCAGCACCCGCTCGGCCCTGCAGAGGCACAGGCAATGTCAGAGCAAGCAGGGGACAGTCCTCACACTGTGTGCCCCATCTCCCACCACACCCACCCCACGCTCCGGCACTCACCCTCCGCCCAGCCTTGCCGGGAGGGCCTGTGAGGCCCTGAGGTCCTCTGGGGCCCTGATGAGGGAAAGTTGAGGTCAGGGCTATGGCCATAGACAGAGGAGGCGGCAGTGGGTTGGGAATCAAATGGGTGGGGATGTCACCTGAGGTCCTAGGTCTCCAGATTCTCCCTTCAGACCAGGACTCCCAGGTTGTCCCTGTGAGAGAGAAGAGGGGTTGGCTATATTGAAGGACATATCCAACAGTGACCTCAAAACCTCCCCCAAAGAAGCAAAATGACTTTTGGATTTGGGCCCTTTCCAGAACTATCCATACCCCCACACACAAATAAAGAACCTCCTACTCCACACCCCATTCGCTCACCAAGGGTCCAGGGCGACCTGTGTATCCCATGGGTCCAGGGGGTCCACGGAGCGCCAGCTAGGAGACAGCGGACACAGCAGAGCTGAGAAGAGGCAGCTGGAAAACTCCCATCCCCAGGACACCCCCCTTCCACTCCTGATCCTTGTATCACTGCCTTATGTGCTCCCCGACCTCCCTCTCAGCCTCAAACCAACCCAGACCTTCCCTTCCCTGTATCCCTCCAGCCTACCCTTCCAACCCCTGCTAGAGTCTTCCCTTTCCCACCCCACCCCTCCCCCCACCAAGATGCTCTCCAGCCCTCCTCACCCGAGCCTGCTGCAGAATCGCCTGGGCCTGAGCCTCCTGGGCAGCCACCACAGGGCCCTTGTCTCCCCCACCACTGCCAAACCGGAACTGATGGGCAAGGAGAGAAGGTCCAGGTTCTCTTCCAGGAAATCCCTGGGACCTTCCCAGCCAGAGGTTTCCTCCAACATTTCTGCTCCATCTCCCAGGCCCAGACACACACACACACACACACACACACACACACACACACACACACACCATGCCCTCTTCCAGCATCTTCCAGTGGAGGTTTTCAGATAATCATTTAGAGCAGTGGTTCTCAACCTGTGGGTCGCGACCCCTTTGGGGGTCGAACGACCCTTTCAACAGGGGTCGCCTAAGACCATCGGAAAACACATATATAATTACATATTGTTTTTGTGATTAATCACTATGCTTTAATTATGTTCAATTTGTAACAATGAAAATACATCCTGCATATCAGATATTTACATGACGATTCATAACAGTAGCAACATTACAGTTATGAAGTAGCAACGAAAAGAATTTTATGGTTGGGGGTCACCGCAACATGAGGAACTGTATTAAAGGGTCTCGGCATTAGGAAGGTTGAGAACCACTGACTTAGAGGTTTTCAGAAACTCAACTTCTATCCTCCTCCCCCGATGTCTAGCCTCTTCCTCCAAAGACTCTCCTTTGGGTTCTAGACCCCCTGAAATATAGAATTTTCTGCTCCATTCTAGAAGATCCAAGTTTGATTCTAGATCATGTTTGGCTCTAGGTCATCTAATGGGGCCCTCGTCACCTCCACCAAGAGATTGATCTCTTTGCATTGATGGTCTTTAGAGACTCCTCAGCTTTCCTGGCCTTCTGGTTCTTGGTGACACAACACAATTCCCCTGCCCTCCCCAGCAGCCCATTCCAAAGCCCAGAAGACACTCACTGGGAGCATGAGGGATGTGCCGGGCGGGCCAGGGGCCCCATCTGATCCAGGGAGCCCTGCTCGGCCAGGAGGGCCCTGGAGTGGGGAGAGAAGGAGGAGGAGAGGTGACAGATAGGGGAATATTAGGCCTAGGGTCCTTTGGGAACCCCCCTCAAAAGGACAAATGCAGACTTCCCTAGATCTTTCCTGAGCCCCATCCCAACCCCCTGGAGAAAAATCAGGGTAAGACACCAGACTACTGTCCTCCTCCCCAACCAGTCTGCCCTACTTTGAAAGTGCTGGGGAGCACACCAGTCCCTTGTTCATTGATCAGCCAGCTAATGAGAAATTACTAAGCATGTGGCCCCATTAGGAACTAGTGGCTCCTCTGCAGTGCCCCCCCCCCCATACAGAAGGCACTCCCTTACCCTCTCGCCAGGGTCTCCAACTGGGCCTGGGTTGCCCTGGATGCCAGGGGGACCAGTCAATCCCTGAGGAAGAAAAGAGGAAGGGTCAGGTGTGGGCATTCAGAGAGAAAAGGGGTATGTCGCTGAGGGGTGGTCTCTACAGAAGAGGGAGCTCGGATGGAAGAATGCTCTGGGGTTCTGAGGAGGAGGCCTGGGCACACATGGGGAAGACACGGATGAGAGTGTACAGACTCACCGCAGGGCCTTCTGGGCCAGGCGGCCCCTCCACTAGCATACCCTGCAGAGTCAAAAGTTAAAAGTCAGAGGCTACAGGACTAGCACGCCTGCCTTCTTCCCTTCTTCCCACTGCCCTCAGCTCAATGACCAGAGTGACTTACAGGTTCCAGAACTGCAGGCTCCCCCTTCTCTCCCTTCAGCCCCCGGGGTCCATGGGCAGCCTGAGGGAGACACACATGTAACCCCCAGTGGGGCCTGTGAGCAGCCAGGACACGGGGACTCCTCCCATCCCAACTCTCACCTTTATTCTCAGGTCTTCTGGAGGCCTCCTTGAGCCTACCTCCCACCCCACCCCTCCCCCAAGACTCTCTTCACAGATCTCCAGGCCTGCCAAGGAGACCTCAGGGCTCCCCACCCTCTGATTCTCAGCCCCACCTCAGCAAGGCAACCTCCTCACCTCCCTGAGATGAGAACTTCTTTCAGGAAGGTCCCCACATGTTTCCTGGGTATCTGAACCCCCCAACCTTCCCAAAGCCTCTTCTGGAGGACCCCACCCTATCCTCCAAACTTTCTCTGACCCCAGGCATCCTGAGAACTTTAGGAAACCATCAACTTCCTCACCCTTACTCCAATCTACCAGATAAAAAGCTCTCCAAGATTATGGATAGGTTTTTATTGGAGTCTGAGGGGAGAGTATGGATCCATATGAGAATCTGATGTAATCTATAGTCTTCAGAAAAAATGTATGCCCTTATGCACAGAATTTTCCCTAGAATTTCAAGGAGTTCATAAGCTAAGAACTCCTTGGAGGTAAAACATACATACTCTAAGTAGATTTGGAGGGCAATCCCCACTGATATCTGAAACTTCCACCCCATAATAGGTTTTTTTAAAAAATACAGCTCTTGTCCTAGCTGGCTTGGTTCGGTGGATAGAGCATCAGCCTGTGGACCAAAGGGTACCAGGCTCGATTCTGGTCAAGAGCATATACCTTGGTTGCAGGCTCCTCCCCAGCCCGGGCCCTGGTCAGGCTCATGCAGGAGGCAACCAATCGATGTGTTTCTCTCACATCCATGCTTCTCTTTGTCTTTCCCTCTCTCTTCCACTCTCCCTAAAAATCATGGAAAAATATCCTCAGGTGAGGATTAACCACAAAAAATACAGCTCTGGGCCAAGTTACTCAAGCCTCAGAGCAGGTCCCCCTCAAGTCCCCACAGTTCCTCTCTCAGCAAGGACACTATACTCTCACTCTGGTGCTCATTTGTACTCCAAGCATAGCAGTTGCCTCTCTTCCACACTTCTATTCAGATCCCCACCCCCAACTCTAGGGCCAGAACCAAGACAAGGACAGGGAGAACAGAGGACATTCACCACCACCCGCAACTCTCCCAACAAACACCATCAGAATGCCCCCCACCTCTGTCCTGACCGAACAGTAATGATCAATTTCCAAACTCTCCCATATTACAGATCAACCTCAAATTTCCAGAAAGCAGCATAAAAGAAAGACAGCAGAGGGTAAAGGGTGGCAATGTTAGAGAAAGGAGGTATGGGACGATGCGGCAGGGTAGAGAAGGCAGCTCTAACTGCAAGACAGGCAAAAGGTGAAGTGGAGTGGACAGGAAATATCCCATCTAAGAGGGAGTGGTTGAAGCCATGGGGAACAATTAAGGGAGACAGAATGAAGGGACAAACACTTGGAAGCAAGAATGATGCCAGGGCCAAGAAAAATTAAACATGGCCAAAATGGCTAGAAAGTGGACTGAACAAACAGGAAGTGGTTGGATAGACAGGAAGCAGCCAAGAAAAGAGACTTCAGGAAGTGGACCTTCAACAACACCCTGGCTACCATGACCAGTGGAAGAAATTCATAAAACAGACAGAAAGTGATTCCTGGATAGGAGCTGATGACAATGCAAGAGAATTCTTCCAGAAAACACAAGCATCAAAGTGAGTACACACAGGAAGTGATCATGACAAATATCTAGGCCCACAATGGACACTTTATGATTTGGATGACCTGAGACACACTGGAAGTAGCTCATTGTCAAAGGAAACTGTCACGGAAAGCATGACAACTAGAGTCGAAACACAAATAATAAGTCCCTTTCTGTCCAATATGGCACAGTCACCAAGACAGATGGCATGGCTAGAGAAGAGAGGAAGGGACAGACAGGTTAGAAAGTGAGACATAGGAAATTAGATCATTTGGCAGCAACATGGATAAAAAAATTGTTTTGATCAAGAAGAAATGATGGAGACAGACTCAAAATGGACACAAGGTAGGGGCTTATTGACCAAAAGCTTTATGAAATCCAGCTTGATTGAGACAGGAAGTGACCAAAAAGACAGGAAATGGCCAAAAAGACAGGAAATGGCCATAATATATATTTTAAATCCCATTGCCCTGGGCAGAAGGATTCATAAGGAGTCACAGGGTAAGATATATCACAAGGGAAGGAAGGAAGGAGTATGTTCAAGCAACATATACATCTTATGTGGACAGAAAATGGCAAACCACCAGTGGGAAGCAGTTCAGAGCCAACAGACAAGAATCAAAAACAACAAGAAGCAATTCTGTAGCTCCCACTGGAGGTCAAGAGAAGAGGAGCCCCTTGCACTTACGGCTCCTGAGTGGGCTGTCTCCGCAGAGAGGGCAGGGCCAAGTTCCGTCTCCTCACGGTAATCGTCCCCATAGCCATAGGTGTAATCGTAGGGCCCTGCTGGGGGGTCTGTGCCACCCTCCCCATATTCCTCTGTCAGGAACCTGTCAGCTGTGGAGGGGACCTGGAGATCTGTCTGCTCCTTCCCGGGGATGGGGATGGGGAGGGAGAGGGGTAGACGGGGGCATTAGGGCTGAGAGGAGTTTTTCCCTGGACCCCAGGTGTGACAACTCCTAGCCCAAAGGATGCTGAGGGTAATTGGGACTGGAGTTTCTCTCCCAAGAAGAGCAAGGGAAGCAGTTGTGTAGATAGGTGATGGCCATCAAAGACCCGAAATCGGGAGAGATGTCCAGAATATGGGCTTGGTAGAAGACGTGGTGCACAACAAGAAGGGTGGCCGGAGGGCTGGACACAGAGTGGACAGTCCATGGACATAATGATAGACAAAGAGTCCAGGAAATGACCAAAGAAATGGATGGAAAGAAAGGTAGAAGAGAAGAAATGATAGCACTGGACAGAAAGTGGCTCCTAGGAACAGAACATGACACAGGAAGTAAAACTCTGACACCAACATGGAGAGGAGGCTACTCCAGAATCAAGGAATAATGAAAGGAGACAAGGACACTAAAGGAAAATGGCTGTACTGAGAGAGACGAGCAGACCCACTGGTCTGGGAGGACCAGGAGACAGAAGGCCGTAAGTGGACATGACAAAGAGCCCTCCGGCCAGAGGGGAGCTGACTCATCCAGATGACAGGGGGCCTGAGGGGTGGGTCACAGCCACCCACTGCCCCCCGCTGGGTGGGGGGGATGGAGTTACCTCCTCAGGGGGTGGCAAGGGGCTGGACTCCAGGATTCCTTCCTCTTCTCCGGGGGTGGGGTACTAATCCCAAGGGGAGGGGGGAAGAGGACCGTGGGGATGGGGTGGGAGGAAGAAGAGCGGTTAGCAAGAAGGAAGGCAAAGCAGCACCCTGTCCCTGGCGGAGGGCAGTGTCTCTGTGTGGGGGGTGGGGGAAATCGCAGATCTTGCAGCCCCTTTGGAGGGAGGACAGCTGAGGGAGAATGATTCTCCCAGGTCCTAAAGATTTGGGGGCAGAGATCTGGATGCCCCGGCTCTACCTGCCGGTAACTGCTGCCTCTGGTCCTGGGGGGGCCCCGGGCAGTGGGGGGAGCTGCCCGTCGGGCTGGGCGCCGGGAGGGGGAAGGCTGGCCCCGCGCTGGCCCAGAACCTCCAATTCGAGAGGATCTCCAGCCTGATGAGGAGGCTGCGGACCTCTTGGCAGGTGGGGCAGGCTTTCGGGGTGGGGTGCGACGCCCCCTGGGGGAAGAGGGAGCCCTTTGGCTGGGGCTCCGAGGCCGCTGCAGCAGAGACATGGGAGGCGACAGTGAGGAAACTCCCATAATCTAACTACAGGGCTTCTCTCCTTGAACTGGGTGTCATAGATGTGGTGGGCGGAACAGGAGAAAGGTAGGGGTCCCTCAAGTTTACCTGGTAGTCAGGGGTTGTCCCCGCAGTCATCTCATCGTAATAGAGGGGCTCGTAGTCATAGTGGAGAGACTCAGTGGGCTGGGGTTAGGGAAGGGGCAGTGGGATAGGTAGGAGAGGGGGGGTGAGGGAGGTGAGATGGTATGGGATTGGGAAATGAGGTAGGAGAGGAATTGGAAAACAGAGTTGGGGATGAAAAGAGAGGTTGGGGGACAGGAGAGAGATGGGGAGAGGCAGGAATGAGGGATGGGTCCCGCATGTGAGACAGAAGCAGACATAATTAAGAGATTGATTCTTCAACTTTAGACTACAGACCCCAGATCATATCTGTTACCCAAACCTTCAGAGCTCCACCCAACCCAGAGTCTTCTTGTCCTTCTCCCACGCAGCCCCTTATCCTACCCCTCCATGTGCAGGGGCCAGAGATGGCCCCACCCCACCTTCCACAGACTCACCACTCTTTTAGGATTCCCTCTACTATTCCTCCCCCATTTCTCCTCCTAGGCCTTACCATTACAACTTCTTTCTCCCTGTTTTGGTCTCTCCCCTAATCTGCTCTCCCATCCTCTGTCCCCAAGTCTCACCCACACCCTCTCTCCCAATCTCTTAATTCAAGGAAGGGATGGGGAACCCAAGGACATAGTCCAGGAAGACTGGCAGAGGAGACACAAGGAGGGGACACAGCTCCCAGCCACAAACTCTTCATAACGACTCTTTTTATTTTTAAGTGAAAATAAAAAGGTTGATGAATGAGGACTGGGGATGAGTGATGGGAATAGGGAGGTATGGTTGGGGATGGGCATGAGGGAGGGGATAAAAGGAGCCCAAAAGAATGGGGAGCTCTGGACATTGGGGAATCACCCTGGGGAGATATCTGGGAATCTTCCCTCCCTGGGGGGTGCTGCAGTTTGGGGTCCACCCAACTCCCTCACCTGTCTCTGGGGTTCCTGGTTTTGGGGCCGATGAAGTCTTGCTGGTTGCTGCTTTGGAGACCTCTGGGCTCTGTGAGACTGTTGTTTCTGAGGTCTCTCCCTCCAATCCCCCTCACACTCCAGCTCCTTCTGTTCACAGGATCCGTAGGCAGCTTGGACCCCCGGAACAATGACAAGCTCTTGGACATCACCCTGTAGAGATACAAGGAAGGAACACCAATGGAAGGAGACAGAAAGGGCTTCAGAGAGAGACAAAGGGTATAGTCTGGGACAAAAGGTAGGCGGCCAATCCTAGGTAAAACTATGTAATGGAAGGTCATTACCAGCCCTCCATGGGCACAGCCCTTTCCAATTCCCATGGGACCTTCACAACCACTGGGAAAGTCAGTAGCACAGGATCTTTATGCCCACTTTTCATATACATTCCATTCAGAAAGGCTCAGAGGCAATGGCTGGCCCAAGGTCACTCACAGTGGTAGAGTCAGAACTAGAATTCCGTCCAACTCTGCATTCAGTACTCTGCCTATCCGCCTGCCCTGGTGGTTTTGCCTGAGCCTTTTCACAGCGGCTTCTGGAGACAGTGGCCCAGCCTTAGCTGCTTTGACCTTCCACTGGCAGTAATGATGGGAATTCTCAGGACCTCTAGAATGAGGGAGGGGGATTCCAATGGCCTTTATTTGTGCTCATATGTGGTGCTTAACACAACCTGCCTTGTATTGTCGTTTGGAGATACTGTCTCATCTCCAGAGGAGAACGGGGGAGCGCCTTGGAATGACAGAAACCTTATATTCTTCTTCTGTTTTCCCCTTAGCATTGGGTAAGCAGGTCTTCAGAAAATGTTAACTGACTGGCTGGGTGGGCGGGTAGGTGAGTAAATGGGGATTCAAATGCATGACTGAATGGGAAGGTTGATGGATGGTGAAATGAATGAATGAATGAAGTTGGTGAAGAGATAGAATCAGATTGGTGGGTAGATGTATAGAAGTAACTATGTGGATAAATGAATGGTTGGATGGAGGGTGTGAAGGTGAGGAGAAGGTTGTGTAAATGGTGGATCAATGGTTGCATGCATCCTTATATGCATGGGTAGATGGGGTGGGTGGGTGGACGGATGAGTGAGTAGATGGGCGGGTGGGTTAAAGAGGACAGATGGATGAAAGGATAGATTGATAGATAAGTGGTTTGAAGGAGCGAGTGGCTGAGCAGGGGAGGATGGGCAGACGGAAGGATACAAACCTGGATGCTTGAGTAGGTGGGTGACTGGGTAACTGGACAGATGGGTGAGTGGGTGAATGGGTGAATGGAAAGAGAGGTTGGTTGAACGGATGGATGGGCAGAGTGATGAAGACTGAGTGACAAAATAAGTGGCTGTGGACATTCCTGCAATATAAGTGGACACTAGTTCTCCTATAGAGAAAATTAGCCCTGAGGGTAGGAAATGAGAATATAAACTCAAGAGAGGAAAAATGACGAGCTAGGGCATAGGAAGATGGCATGCTGGGGCCAGGAGGATAATGGGCACAAGATATGGGACCAGAAGTCACGCTGCCCTCTGGCTGCCCTGGTTACCTCAAAGACTTCTTCATCCAGGATACGGGCACCAAAGATGATCACTCCATGGGTGTCCAACACTGGACGAGCACTTCGGGTGAGCGGCCGGGTGACTCGCTTCTTGCAGTCAACAATGAGGGTGACAGATTGGCCCTTCACAGCCACACCCACACGGTGCCACCTGGTCATGGTGGGAGAGGCTTAAGTGACTGACTGAAGAGGGGAAGTCAACAGAGCTGGGGAGCAGTTGATGGAAGGGTTAAGGCTAATAATATTAATAATAATAGTAGTAGTAGTAGTAATCACAGTAGCCATTATTTACTGAGTGCTTACAATGCACCCAGCACCAAGAAATACATTTCTCATTTGATTCTCTTGATTGTATTATCCCTCCTTTACAAACACAGAATGGAGGCTCAAAAAGTTAAGTAACTTGTCCAAAGTACAGGCTAGTGCTACACACAAGGATTTAAACTCTAAAGCCCAAACTCTGAGCTACAAGTGACTGAAGTTTGGGCAGTGGGTAGGTGAGGTGTGGCCAAAGGCTGGGCAGGATTTTCTAGTTTAGGGAGTAGGGGTTCTGGGGCAGTGGCCACAGGGGAGTTCCTGAAAGCGCAGGCCAGGCAGAGCAGAGGAACAAACTAACTTACTTGCCATCTGCTAGGTTGAGGCCTCTGAAGACTGGCTGAGCTGGAGGTCGAGGCCGGCCAGTCTGGTCCTCATACAGGAAGCGGACAGGTCGGCCAAGCTCCAGGCCCAGCTGTCGGATGCCCTGGGCACTATAGAGAGTCAGGAGGGGAGCTTGGAGACCAGGGCGGGTCCGGACCACAGTCAACAGAGAGAAATCTTTGGGAAAACCTCCTAGGACCCAAAAGAGACACAGACAGGTGGAGTGAAAGGCGAAAAGAGCCATAAACCCATTCCCTTCAGGTTTCTGCTCTCAGGCCCCACCCGTGACCTAGCCCAGCTCTCCCTGCTCCACCCTGTTGCCCATACCTGGGAAGAGCTGGCGGGTGGGTGCGCTGAGCTGAGCAGGTCGGGACACTCGGTAGGCCACATCAGCTGGACACATGCCTCTTGCCCTCCGGACACCATCAGGGAGGGAGGGGAACCTCAGTGCCCGGAGCACATCCACAGGGGGTGCACCTGGGAGAGTCCATGAGGGTCAGGGGAAGGGACACACCCTCAGGAGGGCCTGCAGAGGGGACATTTGTGGTGCAGAACTCTACTCCTGGGCTCGCACCCCCTGAGAGCAAAGGCCACCTTTCCCTTACCTGCTCCTCGGTGGGCAACCGCCACAGGAGCACAGCGGAGACCCTGTGTTCATGCTCACTCCTGCCGCCTCCCTCCCAGCAGCCTGTGGGGCTCGCTCTCTCCCAGTCTCTGCCTGAGAATCCCTCTCTATTCTCTCTTAATCTCTCTCTCAACTCTCCACCGCGACCGCCTCTTCCTTCTCTCACTATGTCTCTTCCAGGCTTTGCCTCTGTATCTGCTGGTCTTCTGTCTCCCTGTCTTTTCTGTCTTCCTCCATAACCCTCACACTCTGTCCACCTTTTCCTTTCCTGGTCGTTCTCCCTCTCTCACTCCCTCTCTGTATCTCTGGGTCTCTGGGTCTCTGGCCTCTGGCCCAGGTCTCCAGCACAAACAACATCTGGGCAATCGATCATCCTGGGCACGGGAGGCACAGGGCTCCGGGAGGGAGCAGAGAGGCGCTCCGCGGGGAGCGGGCTTCAAGCTGCTGCCGCTGCCCTGACAGGGAGGTGGGTCGTTCTGCCCACACGGAGGCAGGAGACGCCAGGAAGAGCCACCCAGGGCCAGTGTCCCTAGCGTGAGAGATGGGCTGGGGGGGTGGGGGTGGAGGGGAGCCTGCAGCTGCCACGCGGACCCAGAGCCAGTCCAGGGCCCTGAGCCACACATCTGTGGATCCCATCAGAGCCCTTGCCCAAAACCAGGCAGGCTCCCCACACCTGGAACTCTGACCCTCCCCCCCATCCCCACCCCTCAGCACCCAAGACCCGGGCCACCAGCCCTGTCCCCTAGCACTGGGCTTCCTCAGCTCACACTCCGGAGACAAAGGTCACCTCTCCATTCCTTGCTCCTGCCATTCACACTCCTCACACCATCAGCTCCAGATTGGAAAAGCCCCAAAGAAAGTTCCTGCAAAACTTTCATAGAAGCATGAGGCAGGGCAGGGCAGAGCGGTCTGGAGAGGGAGCTGGGTGGGGTGGGTGAGGTGGTGCCGGCAGGCAGAGAAAAGGCCCTTTGAGTCCAGGAGCCGGGAAACCACGGCTTTGGCCCCCCCCCCACCTCCCCCCCAACCTAGCCTGGCCCCTGCGTGTGGCAGCTCCACAAACACCAACACACAAGGGCTGCTTTGAGAGACAGCGGGTGAGTGAGACAGAGACACAGAGACTCACAGAGACCCCAGGCCAAGGAGACCTCAGAGGCCCCGCGCCCACCAACCCCCTGGAAAGTGCAGTTCCATCCTAGAGATGACTCCCACAGGCTGCCCACCTGTCTCCGCACCTCAGGCACACACGTGCCCCATATCTCAGGCCTCAACCTACCCACAGGCTCCCCCTACAGCCCCATCACCCCCGCCCTCCACCTCTGGGCCAAGTGCCCCCTTCCTTACTCTGAATTCCGCCTTGCGGAGTCCCATCTCTACAACTCAGCTCCCAAATAAGAGCGTCATCTCAGCATCTCCCCACCTCCATGCCCCAGGGTCCCTTTCCCCCAAGAAAGACTCTTAGAGAGACCCTGCACACTTGCTCCTTGTCCCTGAGCTCACACTGCTCACAGCTGGGAAGTTCTTCCTTCTGTAATCTAATCTAAATCCTTTCTGCTGTTATTCCGACCACTTTCTTTCCAAAGCAGAGGAAATGAATAGTCAAGTTATATGCAAATCAGTCTCCAGTGTTTTCAGGAGTGGGGGGCGGCTGGCTCCAGCCTGCCTAGCACCCGGGTGCTCTCAGTCCCCTTCCCTGCCCTCCCCTCCCACCCCCACCCCCCTCCCCATCAAATCCCCTTTCCTAGGAGCCAGGAGTTCCGGATCCTGGGAAAAAGAAGGAAAAGATTGGGGTTGTGGACACCAGGGTCCCAGGAGAGCCCGGCTGGCCAGAGGGGGAGGGGCGGGGCAGGAATGCAAAGAGTTGGCTCCCACCTCAGACACCTGATCCCCCTCCGTCCAGCGGCCGTCCTGTTGGCAGCCAGCCCCAGTGCTCCCCAGAGCCAGCCGCGTGGCAGCATCGAGGGCACAGGGAGGGGGAAGGGGATCCTGTCCGAGAGGCCAATGGAAAAAGCAGCCCAGGCCCCCCTTCGTTCTCTACTTACCGGCTCTGCTCTGACCCACACAGATGCGCCCCGCAGCCCCAAGATACAGAGAGAAAGCCCAGAAGACAGGCATGCACCCCTCAGCGCCCACCGGCATCTCCCTCTCCCCACCGGCTGGACCACACGGGCTGTCGCTTTGCTCTCCCAGGACCCAGCACCCAGCCCCACTCACGGCCTTCAGCCTTCGCTGCCCTCCCGTCACCTCAGTGAAAAGGACCCCGCGCTGGCTCCAAGGGATCCAGGTGTCCTGCCCTCCGCCCTGGACCTTTGGTCCCCAAAGCCCCCTGCGGGACTCAAAAGCTGCCCCCCCCCCCCCCGCACTCGCCGTCCCGGGGCACTCAGCTCCAGCCTGACTCCAGGGACCCGGGCGTCGGGGCTCCGCTTACCTGCCCCGGCGGGGGCCCCGCTCAGCCCCAGCACCAGCGGCACGAGCAGCAGGAGGCGGCGGCAGCGGCTGCACCGCTCCATGGCCGGACGGAACGCCGGGCTCCAGGGACCCAGGGGCGCCGGAGGCACGGGACGTCCCGAGGCTGACAGGGAGCGAGCCGACGGCGAGCCCGGGCACGGGGTCCCGAGGTCCCGGGAGGTCAGAGGTTGTCGGGGGGCGACAGCGCTCAGCGGCCCGGCTCCATGCAGCGAGGCGCCGTCGGGGCTCCGGCGCTGCTCCCTCCTCGGCGGCCGCCGCTCCTGTGTGTCCCCGGCCACCCCGGCGGCCCAGAGCCCCCACTCCGCCCCCGCCCCCGGCCCGGCCCCCGGCCCGGCCCCCGGCCCGGCCCCCGCCCCCAGCCGCACGGCAGAAACCCCACCCTCGACTCCACCTGGGCGGGGGCGGGACGGAGCGCTTCCTCGCAGACCCAGCTCCTCGCAAGGACTCGGTGGCTCTACCCTACGATGCTTCTCGGGGACCCCAATATCTTCTCCCCAGCCCCCTCCTTTTCTAGGACCCCGACGTCGTCACAGCCCCCCCTCCGGTCCCCTCTGCCTGGGGGCCCAGAACCCTCCTTCAGCAGCGCCCTGGGTGGGGTTTAGGGGACAGTGGGAGGAGAGAGGCGGGCCTGGGGGTCGCCCCCCCATCAGGTCTCCGTAATTACTCCCGGGCGCGCCCCGTAATTACAGAGCGGCGGGGGCTGGTATTTATAGACCCGGCTATAGATAGAGGCTGGCGACCTGCAGCTCCACGGCCACATGGGGGGCGGGTGGTGTTGGGAGCCCCGGGGGGCAGACTGCACAAACGGGCTAACCAGGTCCCAGGAGATGAAGCGGGGCGGGGGGGGGGGGGGGGTAAGGGAGGCCCGGAGCCCAGGTGGAAAGGGACCCCGTGGAGGGCGAGGGCACAGTCTGCCGAGCTGGAAGCCTGGGAAACAGGGTCACTCGGGGACAGGAGGCCGCCTCCCGGAGGCCACGGGCCGCGGCGCCCGGCGAGCCCCTCGGACGGGCACGGCGCCGGGTCTGCCCGGAGCCCGCGGCAGCGGCGAGACGGGAGCGAGGCGAGGCGCCGCCGCCCGCTGGCGCTGGGAGGGCGCAGGCGAACAAGGCGCCTTTGAGAACCGCCGCCCCCCTTCCTCCTCGGCCGCTCCGCCCCCCGCCTGGCACACCCTCTTCCCCCCTCCCCGACAAAGGGCGCCTTGTGTCCCCCCCCTTGCGCCGCCTCTCCGGCCCCAGGGAACCTCAGCACCGTTAGTGTCAAGGGAGCGTGTCTGGAGGTCCCAACCGACCGGATCCCCCACACCCAGCGAGATGCTGCGCTCTCCAGGCCAACAGTCACCTCAGTCCAGAAAACAGCGATTTTAATTTGAAAGCGATTTTATACGTGAGTGAAAGAGGGAAAGAAACCCCAGAGAGAAGAAATGCAGGGCAAAAGTCATGCAGCCCCAGCACCCCATCTCTACTGGCGGCCACCCTATCTCTACGGCCGCCACCTCCCCTCACGCAGGCCTGGCCCAGGGCTGGGGAAGCCCGGCCATCGCAGCCCAGGCCCCGTCCCGGTCAGTCAGGCGTCCGTCAGTGAGGCGGGGAGAGACGGGCGAGGGGTGAGAAGGCCAGGGCTTCAAGAGCCTCAGGGCCACCGCCTTGGGGCCCTGCCTTTCCCACAGTCCACCTCCACCACTGGCATCTTAGTCAACCTGGGGAAGTACAGTACTTCTTTGAGTCTAACTGTAAATCTCTATCCTCAGAGGAAATTAAAAATAGCAGATGGGTTCCTACATCTCTACCCACCCCTTCACCACCACCACCTCATTTCTCAGTCTGACTGCAGGAGGTGACGTGCAAGAGGTGACTCCGGACAGGAGGCAGTGACAGAGTAGCCCCGATCTGCCAGGCTTGGCTAGAGGAAGGCCTGTCAGAGCCCTACTCCCATGTCCATCACTTTGGGGGGCCTGCCCCCCAATATCCATCTCTGGGAGAGTTCCCATATCCACTCTCCAGACAGGGAGCTAAGTGAGGCCAGATGAGAAAGAAGCCAGGCCCTGGGAGAAGGCCAGTGCTTTCTGCTGGGGAAGATCATTCCAGGCGGGGCGGGAACTCACCCCAAGTCATGGCAGACCCAGACCAATTCAGAGGCTCGAGGCCACTGAAGGAAGAGGTCCAGCTCTCATAAGGGCCTGGGGTCCCCTCTGACTTGGGATATCAAGCAAACCCCTTGGAGGGTTGATGGATGCCCTGGAGGTCTCAGTCCTGCTCCCTAGTCCTCACCCCACCAAGACTCCAGGCACACGGCCCTCCCCACCCTGCCCCAAGGCTTGGCGTCCCCCTCAGGTGTGCACTCCTCAAGTGCAGGAAGCACCACGTCTGTGTCTGGGCTCAGGCCAGCTGGTGGGGCGCCTCGAGCATCTCCATGAGGAAGGTGTCGATGGGGGTGTCACCAATGAGCTTGAAGAAAAACAGGTGCTCTAGACACTTAAGGCCAATGGATCTGAGAGCAGGAAGACGTAGCAGCAGCTTGGCAAACCTGAGGGGGGGCGAGAGAAAGGGAGTGAGAGCTGCAATCGCATGGGCCCTGAACACACCCGTGGCCCCCCCAGCCTCCACCCCATGGGATCCTCAGTCCCCACAATCCCTCGCCCCCACAACTCCTTCTCACCGTCCCTGCTGCTCAGGGTACTTCTGTTTGCAATAGGTCTCCAGTGATGCGTACACTTTCTCCCGCAGGACCTCCACCTCACTGGGGTTGGAGAGGCCCTTGGCGTCTGGAACAGCAGGGAAGAGAGGAGGAAGGAGGAGGCAGGCCAATCACATCAGTCCAAACGGGGAGATGTGGCCCACGTGAATAGCTGTCCCCTTCTGGGCCCCATCTACTTGCCCTTCTCCAGATGCCTGGTCAGGGAGCAGGGCACACTGGGTTTGTGGGAGGGGGTCAGAAGGGGATGCATCATGGGTATGGGATGTTCTTAGCTATCTGGGAGATTTCCGGGCAGAGGGTCTTACTGAGGGGATAGCTGGGTAACTTAGGAGTCTCCGGAGAAGAGGAGGCTCCAAGGTTGCTTTGGTCTTGAGAGATGGGATGACCTCCTCTTACCTGGATTGAACAGAATGATTGCCCTCAGGCAGCCAAGCTCTGTCTTGTCCATCCTCATGTCACGCATTTTGGACACTAGCTCTGTCAGCACCCTGGAGAGGGACCTGCAGGTCACTCAAAGGTCACAGCTCAGCCAGCCTTGGACACGGACCAGCCTATAGCCCCACCCCCTCCACCTATAGGCCAGCCCAGCGGAGGGCCACTGACCGATCAAAGATGGCTCCCACGCCTGCAGAATGGGCTGAGTTGCGGTGCACGTGAAGACCTGTGGCGAGGAGGATGCCATCTCGGACATCAATGGATCGATGGGAGAAGGAGGCAATGAGGAGCTCATTCCAGCCTGGGCGGAGAGCAACAAGGGCCAAGAGCCAGAGATCAGGCCATGGGATTCAAAGCACACCAGGGGAAGAGAAGGAAAGGTGGCGAGGTCAATGAGCTTGGCTCCCTGAGTATGCAAGTGTGCACTGGGGTCACTGAAGGTCATGTCAAAAGGGGTCAAATGTCAAGAGGTCAAAGGGATCCAAGGTCACTGACCTGCCCGTAGCAATATGACCTGGTCATCCAGAGGCAAGGAGGAAAAGTGTGGGATCCTCTTCGCCCACTCAACAAGCGTGAACAGCTGTTTGTCAGCTGCCTGACAGATGTTAGTCACAGGGTCGTTTGGCTGCAGGGGGTGTGGGGTAAGAGTTATGGGAGGTTTAGAAGTACGCTGGGAGCCCCCTTGTAAGAGACTTTGATACCCCCTCCTACAACGTGGTATACCTCTTCAAGCCCCATCTGAACTGACCCCTGTAAGTCAGGCTTTTGGGACTTGCTGTGGTTCTGCCAACCAGTGGGTTGTTCTGGGGGTGGGACAGAGAACACTATCACACCCACCTCAGATATTTAAGAGACCTTGTTCGGCAGCACTTCCAGTCCCAGACAGTGTTAGGAGGGTTGTGAGGGGAACGGAGGGGAGGTGGAGGCAGGACAGACCTAGGCTCCCACTTCCCCAACCCCCATCAGGGAGAATGGATTGACCCCATCACTCACGCTGCTGCCGCTACCCCCGGTTCCCCCAGGACCCTCAACGCCCTGGTCACTCTTCTGCTCCACAGCAAGCTCTGCCTCCAGGATCCTGTCCACAGGCATCTCCTCGGGGGCTCCCCCAGCCCCCTCCCCATCCCCGTCCTTGTCCTTCCCCCGTTGACGCTCCTCCTGTACCGCTGGTGGGGGAGGGAGGACAAAAAGTGGAAAGTCAGCAGCCTGCCATGAGGAGGTTCTGAAATGTCCGTAGGGCCTTATCAGCATCTGATGGCCCTTAGGAGATATTTATAGGAACTGGGGAAGTCATTACAAATAACAGACTACGGACAGTCTGGAAGCAGGGGTTGTAAAAGGGCACAGAAGCCAAGAAGGAGAAGGGAAGGAGAGGATAAAGGAATTAGGGAGAAGGCTAACATTTAAATGAGGGCCAAGCACATTTTAACATTCACTCTATTATAACAACCCTGTGAGTTCTTGTCTCCATTTTTTTTCCCTTTTCTCTTTTTCCCTTTTTTTTTTTTTTTTTTTGTTAATCTTCACCCAAGGATATTTTTTCCATTAATTTTGAGAGAGAGGGAAGGAGGGAGGGGGAGGGGGAAAGGGAGGAGGAGGGAGAGGGGGAGAAGGGAGAAACACTGATTGGTTGCCTCCCTAACTCCTTAGATCACAGGTGCCCCGCCCCATCTAGGGTGGGGATCCAACCTGCAACACAGGTACATGCCCCTGACCGGGAATGGAACCAGTGGACCCTTCGGAGTGCAGGCCAATGTTCTAATCACCGAGAAACACCGGCCAGGGCTCTTGTCTCCATTTTTAAAGATGAAGAATTTTGGCCTAGAGAAGTTAAATAGCATGCCCAAGTTCACACAGTACATGGTAAGTCATACAACTGAATCCAAGAGTGCCTGCCTGCAAATTCTGTGCTCTTCTAACTCAACACAGAGGCAGTATGAGGAGCACCGGCCTCGGTCTTCAGAGACGTGAGTTCTGATCACAGCTCTACCACTCATTTATTGCATGGCCTTGGAGAAGATAGGCCTCAGGCTCATCTTGAAAATGAGATTTGATCAATATACTCTCTACAGGGTGTCTCTCAGAATTCCAGAGTCAGACTGAAGAAGGTAAGATTGAAAAAGGGAAGGTGCCCTGAGGTCTTCAGTAAA